ATTTTTAAATTCAGAAACCTTAGGATTCTATTTGAAAAAAGTTTATATTCTGAATTTTATATTAAAAAACAATTATTTAATTTCAAAGAGGCCAGAAGCTTAGAACGGCATATTAATACTTAATCCCCTAATATACATATTTTATAATACAATCGTATAAGTTTCAGAATTGGGGAAAGCGACGAAATTACTCTATGAAATGGTGACTTTATGTTGAAATTTAATAGCAAGAAACTCCATGAATATGAAATTTAATCTTATTAACTGGAAAATCATTAGTAACTTTGAAGAAATCGGAATAATGATGTAGTAAATTAGCATTGCTGGATAATGAAATTCTTCATTCGTCTTCATAAAGTATTATTCATATTCAGAACCTTACGATAACTCAGTTATCGACCGATTAAATTTGATATCGTATGTGAATAAACATTCACAACTTACTCACAACACTCGAATTCGAAACCGAACCGAAATGACGTCACACCCGTACGATTACTCCAACTTCTCGACCGGCAAAGGCTACAAACGTTATTCAGAGCACAGAAAGATATCGAATGCAAGTTACGGAACGTTCTATTGTTTACAAAGCAAGAATGTAAAATGGAAATCTCCTATTTAAATAAATAAAGTCTAGATTTTGTTCAATTTTATTAGGCCTTTAAAGTCTTAAATATATATTAAGAGGATTTTCATTTAACTCGAATACTCTGAATAGCTCTGAAAGCGCCTATCGATTCGAAGATATCCTATCGAACAATTCGGTTAAAATGTCGAAGAGTTCTGAATCGGGGTCCTATACAATTACAAGACACACGTTACTCACTAAACTAACATTACTATCTGAAACATCAGTAATATTACCGTTTGAAGAAGTTTCAAACTACATAAAAATAGCGTGGAAGTATCCACTTAAAACTTTTACGACTCGTATCAAAGTAAACTTCGCTAGAGCGCCTGAATTTTATATTAGAGCAAAAGCATTAAACCGAATTTTCGCCTATTTACTTTTGTGTCCAAGTTTTAATACGAAAAGTTTGGGTTTCAAGATCTGCCTCGTTATTACACGCTTAGAAATATTGCCTGCAGCAGGACCTAGATACATTAATAAAAATAATGGCCTAGTCAGTCGCGTATCTATCTTCGAAGAGTATGCAAGTGCATGTACTGCTGTCACGATCGAAATAATTCTTTAAACGGTAACTTCAATAAATGCAAAATACCTAATAGTGTTTTATACTTATTACGTGGTTGTTATATGGTGGAAATAAAGAATAACCCCTTTATCCCGTGTCAAATAATTCACACAAGTGTGTACTCTTTGCGGTTTATTGGAAAATAAACCTTCACGGATTGGGATAGGTACAATTTCAACTTTCCTCGAATTAAATTTAATACTTATTTCCGTAGTCGATTTCGAGTGTGTCCAGGGGTATGACTTTTTATATTCGTACACGGTCAAGGGCATGTCGAGTTTGACAATAAAATTCAACTCTATATGTAGTTTGCAATAAGGATGGTTCAAAGTTTTTTTTTATGATACCGAGTGACGTCACTCTGAGACAGAAGTTGACAAGTCCCATGTGCCTGTAAATTCTCTATAAATAAGGTAATATAAAAAAATATTTAAAATATATTTAATTATGTAGAACGCTGTTATAAATTGAATCATTAGGAGCAACAAGGGCGTTTGGCCCGTTTTGATGTTATTGCGTCAAAACATGTAAAGCATTATCTAGTATCTTGTGACAAAAAATTATTTCGACCTGTTCCTTCTAGATGGCGTAAGTTTCATTCATTCCGAAGGTGGCGCTCCGCCCTTGTTGCATAGATTATAAATGTACGTGTGAATTTCGGACACGTCACGACCTGCAGTTTGTAAAAACTTATTTTAATGTAAAAAAATATTTTAAACGAGAGATTTCATCCTCAACCTGGAGCATCTAGGAGGCCTGTTTTTTGATTTCAATCTAGCGAATTTAATGAATAATTTTTTTTTTCAATGTAACTTTTAAATATGACTAATTCACAAAAGTATCTAAAATTATTATTTATTTCCTTAGAAACAAATAATAATACGAAGGCTCTATTAATTTACCGGTTAACGCAAGGAAATAAAAATGTAGAAACATTAGAAATTGTTTTAAAATAATAATAACACCTGAATCATTTAGCTAAATCATAGGACAAATAAATAATAAAGTATATAACAGTCATATTACAAATATGTATTAAAAAGTTATATCTTTTTTAGACATTAAAACATTATTTTCAATTTTATCGTATCTCATTTTTACGTGAAACGCACTTGTTACACAAAATGCTTCAATTTATGTTGTCTTAATTTTGACGACCTGCCATTCTAATCGGACTAAATTTTACGGAGTACATATAGACACAAAATTACACATAACAAACACTGCTAGAAACATACAATTTACGACAACAACGCCTCATTATGTGGACAATCGAGAATGGTCCGCTAACGAATGCAAAATTGTATTGGGGCTATTCCGCACTCGGCACACGTATTCTCATAAAAGCTGTCTTGTGTTTCTTTGAGTATTTCTGACGCACTACAGAACCAGTAACATCCGAAACGCGTTATCATATTAAACCCGAAGAGCCCACAGACCCGCTGATAGACCTCTTTCTTTGTCGTTAAGAAAAGGGAAGCAAATTGACTTCATCTACTTTGACAGTTTAATGACATAAAGCATTTTGATTTACCGCCTCTATTAACAGAATCTTCGTCCTACAAAAACGTGCTGTTAGGGCAATTTTACAACCTGGGCCCCAGAGTATCTATGATAGAGAAATGTAAAAAGATATTCTTACACTAACGTCATAGTACATTTATGAAAATGTTATTTATGTCAAGAAAACAATATTTTTTTTATGAAAAATAGTGACAGACGTAACGTTAATACTAGGAATACAAATAAACTAGCTGTTTTTGACAGTCGTCTTTCTAAAGCCTTAAACTCATGTATACTCTTCTTTGTGAAGATTACGATTGTATTCAAAATTTGCCATTTACGAGGTTTAAAACTATAATGAAACAAAAACTTTGTACTAAAGGTTATTTATTACACAGCTTCTGCGTACTTGGAAGACAAAACTCCGTGGCAGTGACCCATTTAGATCTTGCAGATCTTAGATATTTAAGTTCAATACTATAATGATAAATGTTTTCAAATATATATTTACAAAGAGCGACCTCTAGAGTTTCCTGCTCGTTGTGCAGTTTCGGGAATCAGTTTAATGAATGAGTAGTAGAGTTTAAACAGTATGTCGATTTCAAGTGTCAATTGGTTATATATGAAATGAAGATTAATTGACTTTGACTATACTTTTACTTGAATTGTTATTCATCTATACGTGATGCTATAAAAGCATGGACTTGTCTGCGGGAGGGCTGATGGCAGATGAAGCAACCTTGTTCTAGAGTAGCGATCACGTCAAGACAAGTGTAGTGTAGGACACCTGCCTCAAGATAGAAAGACGAATTGAGAAAGGTGGCGGCAGTGGGTACAGTAAGTAAGTAAGGGTAGTCATAGAAAATCCGAAAAGTAATTTCCTAAGCTACGAAAACTTTTATGCAAACAAAAATACGAAACTATCCGAAAGAAATACTGAAATTTCCGAAAACTCTTGCTGACGTAATACTAGTCTAGCAACATAATTTATATTTTGCCGAAAACTATTATTAGCCATTTTTATCGTAAATTATTAATTATATTATAATTTGATCTGAACACGTATTCGGAAACACAAACAAATTCGCTTCTATCTGCTTACAGATGCCCCGGTCCCGCGGGGGCAAAGCCATGGTTATGTGGACCTGGGCTGAACCCTGAAATGGAGCAGCCCGACCGCACTAAACCCCCGGAGTAGTCCTCCTCTCCGATATAGACGGAGGTACAGGTCCGCTATTGCACTCGTCCCCCTGCTGCTGGCCGCGCTCTGCGTAGGCCCTCGTCGAGAAGGGAGACATATCGGTCCCTCGTCTCCGAATGTGAGGCTCGCCGAACTCCAGACGACCCCTCCATCCTGGGCTCCTCTATGCTGGGCAACTAATTCCCGCGAGTCCGTTATCCAGGGGCCATGGGGGGCAGGACAGCACTAAAAAAACTGGGAAGTTCAGTGGCTGCTCCTCCAGCCCATGCGTTTTTTAATTTGGTCGAGTGTTACCTATTTGACACTAAATTGTTGAGAACGGGACTAGACACCACCGGCCGGATGAGTTGACCTGCTCAGGGAGAAGATTATGCTCATCAGTGGACTTGTGTAAGCTGATGTAGCAATTAAACGTTAACAGTTATAATTATGAAGTAATAATTTTAAACTTCAACTCGTCTTGTCGACATTGAAGTAAAAAAAGTCTATTTTTTTTTCACCGCCATTAGCAACGCTTTTTAAAAGCAAAATGTTCTTAAATCTGTTATTAATTGTTAATGAAAATATGTAGATGATATATGTATGACGTGTGACTGACACAAGGTCAATGATTAAGTGCTCCCACAACCAATATAAAATGAACGAATGAACTTCCATAACCTTATATGAAGTTATTACGCAATGTTCAACGACAGAGTTCTTTATAAAATTGTGGTTTAATGATATAGGATTCAGTATAAAATGAACTCTGAATCTAAAGCAATGTAGAAGATATATTAAACAAAATATGAATAGACATGGACCACGATATAATGTTCGCATGCGTCAATGGTGTAGTTTTATGTTAAAAATACCTGTACGTCAAGGTCGAATTATTTGATTCAAAATAGACGGTCAGTTGTTTAGTGATTGCGTGCTTGGAAGCACTGTTGTTCTGTGTTGTGATTGCCGATTGCTATATGAATTTATCAAACTTTATCAATGTTGATAAGGTTTGATAAACACGTTCTTCTTTCTGTGCATTTGTCGTTTATTTTTAATCGAATTTTCCTTGTAACAGTGAACAAATTGAATATTAAAGGCAGTTATATTCTATTGAAACTATGATCCTCATAAGTTCCATTTCTAGCGAGAAGCCATGCACCAGTAAATGTTTTAATATGATGTGTAGTATAAATACCGTTCAATTGAAATATTAAATAGTGCAGTGGTTTGTGTACTTATTACAATACCCCTCATGGAAGAATGGCATAAGTGGAGTTACGTCAAAAACGTTTATCGCACCATTAAGTACAAAAAACATAACCTACATCCTCTCCAATTCTTCTAACTCTATTGACTAATGTTATTGTAGATAGAGTTAAAAGAATTGGAGAGGATGTGGGTTACATTTTCCTGTATATAATGGAGCAATAAACATGTTTGACGTAACTCCACTTGTGCCATTCTTCCATGAGGGGTGTAACTATTATTGTATGCCATCAAGGCATAGCGATAATAAAATAAAGTGTGTTAACATCTTTATTGTACACCCAAGATAACGAATTTGATATGATATGAGCAAAATCATCTGAATGTTTACAAAAATATAAACATAAAAATTATCATATTTTTTATTATGTAAACAGGCGAAGCAACTCAGCACGAAAATATAGAACTAGAGAGAGTGTATATTAAGTGAAATAAAGCCATCAATTGAAATGTTAAATTCGTAATCAACATGCAATCTAATAAATTGAAAACTGTCCTCAAACTAAATGTACTACAATGGAATTTTATACGGTAAGTTATTGAATGAACGAATGAATCCCAGTCCTGCGTACATGCTACGTATTCTGATTGATTCCCACCGGAGTGCGCAAATGATGTATATGTCTTTATGTAAACAATACGTTCCAGAAAGAGATATGAGTTGGGTATGCTTTTTTAAGGGCCTAAATGTCCTCAGAAAATGGAGACCTATTCCGTATTTAGTACATTTGCTAAGAGATGAATTTATTAATATATACATAGGTTTTTAGTAGCATTGGACTTTCTTGTGAAAGAGCTCGTCAAGGGAAGTACTGCCATCTTAACAATTTCTGCCGCCAAGCAGTAATGTGAGCATTACTGCGTTCCGGTTCTGGATGGTAAGGGTGCTGGTGAAATTACAAGCACACATAACTTGTGTCTGACTTGCGTGACAACGACCCACAGCTCCATCTTCGCGACATAAAGCGGTCAACAGCACTGCAACTGTTATGGACAGGCGTGTCGCTTACCACCAGGCGCACGACTTGTTCGTCCCGTCACTTGGTATCATAAATGTTCATATAACCACTGCGACAACGCAAACGTGCGATTGGGCCAGCGCAGTAGACTACGACATAAAACCTGTCAACAATGATGAAGATAAACGGCATGGGTTTCACAGACAGTCCATTGGACGTGTTGCCCCCGTGCGCTGCCTGCGATGATATTTTTTACCTTTAACTAGAAGTGTTAAAGATAGAATACACTTCTTGTTAACACTTCTAGATAAAGGTAGAATAATTCACACTATTTTGTCGTTTTCACATTGATCTTTGACCAATAAGAGTCAATAGCGGGTGTTACACAGACACTCTATCAGACGTTGGAAGGAAAAGGATAAGACCGCGCGATTGCGCTCACCAGTCGCGCGCGCAATCGCGTTAATTTACACGGTCTATCCTGCGTTAGTAGACTTTACGCGGACGCTCTTTCCTTTGTAACGCGCGCGATTGAACGTTAGCTTAAAAAAATTCAAACAGGTAATCGCGCACAATTGCGTGTGCAGGCTTTCCTGCGCGCATTCCTGTACGCTCCTGATCACGCGCGACAGTGTGAATGTAAAGTAGGCTAATGTCTGTTCGCAGACCTGCAGCAGTAAAGAGCGCTTCTGTGAATATAACAGACGAGGTGCAAGCGTCGGTGAAGTCATGGAAGGAAATCCCTGGACCGTCATCATTGCCCATCATTGGGCCGATGCAGCATTTTTTGCCGGGAAGTACGTATGAACAATATGTATAAAGTGTATTTTTTGGACTGGGATACCATAGGGCAATCCGAAATCATAGAAAATATAGAGAATATATTGGTACAGACAAAGTTGGTATAGACAACACCGTTCTTTCTATTATCGGTTGATCCAACAGTGAAATGAAATAAATGAGAAATGCGAGTTCGTGACTGGTTCATATAACCACTGCAACTACGTAACCGTGCGACTCTCATTGGGCCAGTGTGACTACGACATAAGACCTGCCAATAATGATGAAGATGAATGGCACGGATTTCACAGACCGTCCATTGGACGAGTTGCCCCAGCGCGCTACCCGTGACGGTCTTTAACTAGATGTGTTAAAGGTAGAATGCACTAAAGTAAATATATTTTGGTAAAACAAATAAAACACTTTTTTAATGTTGATGGTTTCAGTTTCTTGTAAGGATCATTTCATTGTATAGAAAGAAAAAAATTGACTTCCGAAATGTTTTTCAGAAAAAAAGTCCTAATGGTTCTTAAGAAAGCTTCCATCTCATCATCATCTTCTATGACTTCGGATTTTCACATATTGTCCCTGTAAAAAAAATGCACTGTATAATACGATAATAATAACGCGCTAGAAAATTAGACCAATATTGAATTTAACAGATACGAAAACTTATATAAAACGCACAGACTTACGGCGGTTATAAACCCGTTTTGCCAACAATGGATGTTCCCTGTTCTTAACTGAAACTCGGCTTGTGCCTCTGTAGTCGTAGTTGGACTCTAGTCCGGTTTTCTGAATTTTTTTGACATTTCCTTTTATCTTTACAGAAGCTTTATCAGACTTCAATGTTTTTCACGATGTTTTATATAAAACTTACGGACCAATCGTCAGACTGGAGTCAGTATTGGGAAGTTTACCCCATATCTTCCTTTTTGACCCTGAATCATGTGCTCAGGTAAGTTAAATTAAACAATTTCATTTGTCATCATCATTAGTTATCTTTCTGTCAACTTTAATTCAAAGTTGGTTTTGAATACTATTTCTCGGTGTAAATAATTAATGATGATTGACAAATCGTCCAATTAGGCAAAGCTAACTTCGAGGAAGAGGTCAATAGTCGAATTCGACTCGGTTGGGCAGCTTTCGGAAAGCTCCGGGACATCTTTTCGTCCGCAATGCCGCATTCTTTGAAGACTAAATCTTCCAGCAGTGCGTGTGGCCAGCGATGGCCTACGGCTTTGATACCAAATCCTCATAAAAAAGGTCAAAGTCACTCAACGAGCTATGAAGCGAGCAATGCTCGGCATTTCTCTACGTGATCGAATCAGAAATGAGGATATCCGTAGAAGAACGCAAGTCACCGACATAGCTCAAATGATTAGCAAGTTGAAGTGGCAGTGACAGGGCATTTAGCTCGTAGAACTGACGGCCGTTGGGGCAAAAAGGTTCTTGAATAGAGACCATGAACCAGAAGGCGTTCAGTGGGAGGGCCCCCTACTAGATGGACGGATGTGCTGTTATAGAATTAGTATTTGAGTGATAAGGGCAGCGGGTAACCGATGGATGCAAGTCGCGTCCGACCGGGTAGTCTAGCAATCTTCGAGGGAGGCCTACATTCAGCAGTGGACGTATACCGGCTGATATGATGATGATGTCATTTCTTCAGGTACTCCGTGGTGAGAATTGGATGCCAAAGCGTCCTGGATTCGATTCCCTAGAATATTACAGGAAAAAGTATAAGAAGACTCCTGAGGAGCAGCAAAAGCTGAGCGGACTTATTACTGAGTAAGTTATTATACCCAAGTACCAGAAGAGAGCGTAATAACATGTAGTTTTACTGTCAATCGATCGAAAACAAAGCTGAAGGAATCACGTACTCTCACCAGGACCTTCATCTTTTTTTAGTAACATATTCTATTAGGAAATGAAACTATTTTTCCGGGTTTCAAAGAAACCAACATTTCGGGCCCTTTACAGGTCCCATGGTTACAGTTGAAATAAATGTCTGAAAAAACAAATATGCGCGATTTAAATCCGGAAAAACAGTTTCATTTCCTATATGTAACAATCGCAAAAAACTAAGAACTCGAAATATATTCTATTTTCATACAATTGCGGTTGCCACAACCGACAATTGTGTCGATTTCATATTAATCGCATGGAAATATAATATTTGTCGCCTCTAGTTCCCGGTTGCTTGTATGCGACACAAGACCAAACTAAACTAAAGTCTGTCTATTATTAATGCGCTAAATAAATCCATATTGAGTTGTTAAAAACCAAACATAACATACTTATATTATAGTAGTACTTTTTGTAGACTATACATAATTTAACATTGGTATGTAATGCGGCTTCTATGTTGTCCGAGATAGATTCAGGGCTTAATATTGAATATAGAATATGTGTATTTGCCATATTATTATCTGTATATTAATTTTTAGAACTTTATTTATCAGATTATTATTATTCTATCATATTTAGTAGGATATTTGAGTTCGAGGAACGTTACTCTAGTGTCGGTAATGAGATTTTGCTAGCTTTCCCGTAGATTATTGACTGCAATTTTTCAAAGGGGCTGGATAGCCATAGTTTCAACTAGTCTGGGTGTCTATCTCTCACACCTGAAGATCACACGACAAACAGGTGCATTTATATTGTGTTAATTTTGGTTGATAATAAATTAATAATATAACGCATCAATTCTGATAATAGGGACTTAATGTATTCAGATTTATATTTCGCTGACAAATTTCGCAAATCATCTCATATCTACAGCTTACGTGGCACAAAAATGTTGTTTTTTTAACATACATAAAGCCGAAGTCGTTTGACGCCTGTGACTTGCTATTTATATGATATCTGTAAAATTTTAGCCACGGTGAGAACTGGAAGGAATTCCGGTCTGCCATCAATCCGGTGATGATGCAGCCGAAAATAATCAAACTTTACAGCACGGTACTGGATGAAGTAGCCGATGATATGGTTAAGAGGTATCTATCATCGATTTTGTTTGCTTTGATTTTGAAAGCTATAACTACTGCTTTATTATTAATCTAACTATCGTTATTTACAATGTAATTCATAATAGGGGTATTCCAAAAATCAGCATATCCCGTAATTGCCAAGCTTGTAGCAAGTATGTATAATTATTTAGCAAGAAGAGACATTACATAAGTAATATGAACATATAGATGACTTTGGGATCATTTATCCGTAAGGTCCTTTTTAAGAAGCCTTCGAGAAGTACGTGTATTTCCAAACATAATTATGTAACTTAGAGTGGTGTTAAAAACCTGATTAATGTCACTTGTAGCAGCAGTAGTGGTCCTTGTGAAAGAGTTACCGGTTTCTGCCGCTAAACAGTAATGCGAGCGTTACTGTGTTTGAAGGGTAAGGGTGCTGGAAAAATGAAAAGCCCCTATGAACTTTGTGACTTAAAGCTCTGAGTGGCACTGCAAGTGTTATGGATAAGCGTGTTGTAGTAGTAGATAGCGACACTTCAGTTAAAATTAGTGGGTCATGGTTTTTTATGACAATATCTAAAATATTTTTTTGAGACATCATAAAAACCATAACCCGGTTTTCAGAACATTGAAATTGTTTAATGATATTTCAGGTTCAGTTAGGCAAAGTTCCGATAATCGAACACGTTAACTAATTAATTTGCGATTTGATTATATGTTATTGTATACACCTATTGCATATACCAGGAAACATAACTTTGATATGTATATAAAATGTAATAGCTACCATCTGTTGGTCTTTTCGAATATTATTACAACTAAATCGCGGGTTTCCTTAGTATAATCTTTTGATCTGCGTTTGAATCAAAACAACCGCCCAAATAAGCGGAGCTATAGATGTGTCTTTGTATGAGATTGGGTGTCTGTACTAGTGTAGTAATTGTTATATCAGTGGTTTTAGGATTAAAATATTTCGGGTAGTGGATTATAATACTACTTTGATACTTATAATACAGTGGGATATACCTATGTTTAAAACTTATACTTTAAGTTCTTTACATAAAATTCATTATTGTTATTATATTACGAGCGATACAATAGCATATTATGCAATTGTCTGGTATAAAATCATGTAATTGATATATTTGTCATGCAGATTTATGTTTTGGGTGATATTTTCAGGATGAGGTCAATTAGAGACGAAGACAATAAGATTAATGGAGATTTTGATGTAGAAATGAATCTTTGGGCATTGGAATCTATAGGAGTTGTGGCTTTAGGAGGACGTCTCAGATGTTTCGATCGAGATTTAGCAGAAGATTCCCCGGAAAGACGTTTAATACAATGTGTCCATAACCTATTTATAATGATGTATGAATTGGATTTTAAGCCAAGTTTGTGGAGATACTTTCCTACAAAGCTTTTCAAGAAAGCCATGGTTTTGTATAAAGAACAAGAAGAGTAAGTGTAATTTCCTTATAAGTATTTCTATCGACATGTATAATAGGACGTTTTTCAGTACATGAGTCTTATTGGAAACTAGATCTTTTCAATTTTCACGTCAATTATTTTGCTTTGCAGTAAAATTGCCAGTTTTAAGAAATAAGCTTGATATATTTTTTACAAAGACATTGTCAAAAAAGGTCTAAAATGTAATAAGACCTCAGTCCAATTGTATCATGAAACTTTATGTAGGTTTATCTTTTCGAATAAATGTAAGGAAGTTCTTTCTTAGATTACGTTTTGTTCTGAATATTTTGGACCCGCCCTAACTTATTCCAATCATAATAGTTTAAGTCTACCATAATCCCATTCGTTCGTATTCGATTAAAATATACCATCCTCATTCTGTTCTTAATTAAAAAAAATCGTGTACTTCATTTATAATTATTTTTCTAGTTTAACGAAATACTTTATTCGCAAAGCGAGAAAGGATTTGGAACAGAATAAGAAATCAGATTCAGAAAAAGCGGTACTGGAGAAACTTCTTGAGATCAACGAAGACATAGCTGTCATTATGGCCTGTGATATGCTGTTCGCTGGAGTCGATACGGTGAGACGATATTAGAAGATAGTAATTTCAGTTCTGATTCTAACCCACATCCTATGCTTAAAAGACGGTAGGTCAAGCTATTGGGCTACCAAGACTTAAACAATAAGAAAGGAATCTTTAAATTGAGACCAAAACTTACAGATTGTTAAAGATAAAATTTAAAGATTCTTTCTTAATAAACCAAAACACTGGAAACGCACGTTCCTGAAGTGATGTTGTGTTTATTTTGGAGATTTATACTCACATCCATTAGTTTTATTGACTAAGTTAGCAAAAAACGTATTTATCTTTCAGGCGGCAAACACAATCACAGCAGTACTGTACCTCCTCGCAAATAACCAAGATAAACAGGATAAGTTAAGAGAACTATTAAAAACAAAAGATTCAGACGAAACAATTAGATATGTGAAAGCATGTATTAAGGAAGGATTACGAATTATGCCTGTTGTATCCGGTAATGCAAGACAAACGAGTAAAGATTACGATATTCTGGGTTACAGGATACCTAAAGGGGTAAGTGTATTTTCAAGGGTTTTGTCTGAAACAGTTAATTAACCATAAAAAGACATTTTAACTACCTTTGTATTGCAAAAACGAGCGATTCGTTCTGTGTACCGTCTAGGCTCTCGGGTATCTCTCAGAGAAAAGTTTAAAGAGACTGGTATCATGACTGTGGCATCACAGTACATTTACTCAAATATTTTATATGCCCGTAAAAATATACATAATTTCAATAAGAAAGAAGATATCCATAATACGAGTATTAACCTTAGAGCTAAGTCCAAACTCATGGTACCACGATTTCGTTTAACCAAGGTAAACAACTCTTTTATGGGGAACTGTATACGTTTTTACAATAAGATTCCGGAGCATATATTAAGTTTATCATTTCCTAAGTTTAAAAACTACATTAATAATATTTTGATCGAAAAATCATATTACAAAATTGAAGACTACGTGTTAGATAAAGATGTATGGAAAGACGACATGGCTCCGGAATCCACACAAATTTGATTCAAAGTGTATTCCATAGCATTTAAGTTTATTTGAAAAGAGCAATCCCTAGACTTTCTTGCTCGTTCTTCTCAGGGAGGTCAGCGTAGTGAACGAGCAGTAGCTTAAATGTGACGTTTTCAAGTGTAAATTTATTTTACCTATGGAATAAATAATCTTTGACTTTGACTTTGACTTTGCATTATCAACGCTAAATAAACCTTTTACTTCAGCATCACTAAACTGTTTTGTATATTTTTTATGATATAATAAGTGCGCATTTGACATCCATCTCACCCATTCACCTGATGGAAAGTGACGATAGGGTCCGAAATGGAGCATGCACACCTGAATAATGTCGAGTTGAAAAGACTTAAGTTACAATTATAACGTTTAGGGAATATGGCTGCAGGCAAGAAATTCCACTCCATAACCGTACGCCATATAAATGAGGAAGTGTGACGCTTCATGCGAATTTTCGGAATATCCACAACGTCTCCTACTACACATAGGAAATAATTGTCAGCTGTGACCACCGGACCTGTAAAGGACTCGGAATATTTGTTAGTTTGAAAAAATAAATATACGCAAGTTGAGATAAAAAGTTTCACTTGTTACGATTTTTATTAATTAATTCTTCATTTTTACCCACTTTTCAGATGAACGTCGTTTTCTCTCATCAGTATATGTCGATTATGGAAAGTCAGTTTCCAAAACCAAAGGAATATGTACCTGAACGATGGTTGGATAAGGAACATCCCCTTTATCATGGAAAAGCACATCCGTTTTCCTATAGTCCTTTCGGATTTGGAGTAAGAATGTGTGCTGGTGAGTTTATTGTCTATTTGCATCTTTATTAATTTAATAAACTGCAGTGCCCCACTAAGAAGCTTTAAGCTCTGTTTTTTAATAATCTTTTATTTCTTTCAGGTCGCAGAATTGCAGAGTTGGAGCTGGAAACTTTTCTTGCCAAAGTAGTCCAGAATTTCAAAGTAGAATGGTTTGGGGAGCCGCCTAAAATAGACGTGCGTTCCTTGAACTATATTAAGGGACCGTTCAATTTTAGATTTAAGGACATATAAAACTACTGTAAGGGACGTTCATAAACGGTACTTGTAATTTTTATAATAACAATTGTAAAGTATTTCATTTTTTACCCTTATGAAACTATATTTGAAAACTACTCAGTTCAACTACTACGTTTGTACGAAGTTACAGTACAAGTAAAGTAACTTCATACAAACGAAGCAGATTGTATATGTGCAATGTCGCCGCTCGTTGTATACGAACGCATACATTCACATAAGCTCGAGGTGCGCTCGCGTTGCATAGCGCGGGTTGTCGCAGGCAACGTTTATTTTAAACGCGTTAAAAAAATGACGTCAGATAATAAGCGTGTTTATTGTTGTGCTTATAATCGCTTGAGCAAAAATGCCTCAGACTCTCAGAAATGGCCAGCATTTAATTTGTATTTCGTAATAAAAATACCAATCCCCGACCCTGGTATAAAAATATCAATAGCGGGTTTTACACAGACACTCTATCGCACGAGGTACAGCATTCGCGCGATTGAGCATACGTGTAAAGACGATGGAAGTAAAAGGGAAAGATCGCGCGATTGCGCTCTTCAGTCGCATACTCTAACACTTGCCACTTTCACGCGGTCTATCTTGCGCTATTAGCCTTTACACGGACGCTATTTCCGTTACAACAAAAACGAACACGAGCTTTACGCGCGGAAGAACGTTAGCTTAAAACATTTTAAACCAGATAATCGCGCACGATTGCGTATGCAAGGTTTGCCGCGCGCTCTCCTGTACACTCCTGATTACGCACGATAGAGTGACTGTATAAACTGGGCTAATACGTAAGTAATGCATTTAACAAAGATTATTTTAATATAGCATGAGAATACTGTGATTGAATACTTATTTTTTTTTAATTACAGTTACAGCTTATAGGTACAACTAAAATAATAATGTGACAACCCTACGCTCCGAGTGAAGTGTGAAGGTATAGGCACTACCGTGACTTATTATATTATAGTCAAATAGTGTTGGTAATATAAAAGTAACTGGATGTATGTATGTGTGATACTAAATAATGCATAGTGCAAGAAATCAATGTTAGGAATCATACTACTATGTTTATAGTACATTATGTTACAAGGGCGGTATGTGTCTAATTACGAACATACGGACATTTAAAGCCTGAACCTAAGGCAAAGTCTAACCCGAATCATTTTTAAGTGCTGTGTGGCATACAGTATTTCCTCACACTTGCGAGGAAGCTGAAGGAACAAAATAGACTTCATAATTGTTATAGTTTTATTATATTTATAAACTTTTTAGTACATGTAAGTGTAATATGAAACTAAAGGATTTTTGAGCATAAAAACTTTTTGGTTTTACGTATGAAGAAAATGTACCTATAGTCTTTTAGATTTTTTAATGCCATGGTATTTATGAGTACGCATCTTATAAATATGATAAATTAAATGAATACTGTATTTATATTACTTTTTTACAAAACTGTATTTATATTACTTTTTTACAAATGTAACGAAAAATCCACTGCAGTTTTGCTCGCGGTTTACTTCGAGGTTTTTGAACCCATTACAAAATGTCGTTATTTTATTAATTTAATACTTTTTTTTCAAACTGCTATTGTATTCTTTTTAATTAAAAATAATAAAAACTGCCTCGGTGGCCGAACGGTTACCACGCCGGACTGCCACGCAGAGGTCCGAGGTTCGATTCCCGGGCCGGGAGAAATATTTGTATGACCTACATTTATTTCTCTCGTGAGTTTGGGTGTAATTTGTGGTTGTGTATGTGTGTGTCCATGGCACCCGCGACACAGGGTTTCCCTAGTGCGGGGCTATGTTGAGTGTGTGCGTTATTATTATTCTTTTTAATTAAAAAAGTTTGGGTTTCGAGTTTATAAGCGGAGAATCATCATTCCCAAAGAACACCTGTAGCCGACCAGCAGGACTTAGTCGGTTTGCTATCTTTATCGGGCTAGTTCTCGTTAGACGCATGTGGTCATTATTTTAAATGCTCATAAAGCACGATGTTTTGTATGATTCTGTTATTATGGAAAAAATAAAAAAATAAGCCCTTGACTATTGGTAAGTTAGGATAAAACACTGTATGTATTCCAAAACATTGAAACAGGGACTATTATACTATATTTTTTCCTGTTCACTGGATTTTTCCGTGTATTTCGTCAAAAATCCATGTCATAAAAAAGACGTCGTATAACGAAAAAATATCGCCCAAGAAATACTACACGGACCACAAAATGGGCAATTTATTTCTGATTCCAAATATAAAAATACCTGTTCGATGTAAATTCCAAATAAATAATTGTTATTTTAATGTAAACTGTATTTTCATTATTATATTTTGTAACGTATAAAATATAAAAGTAGCGAGTAAATGCCACAATACCCCTACGGGGTGTCATAGCGGTAAGTACTTGCATAATGTAACTTGTATTGTTGTGATTTGCATTTTAAATAAATAAATAAAAATGTCATTTTCGCACTATTCGAAATACGACAAGATTACTTTCCAGGGTCGGTATTTGTACAAGGTCTAGAGCTAATCATCCTCGACACTTAAGATTTAAAATCAACTCTATGTCGCTTGCGATAGGAATGGTGAAGTCTTGCTTGACCTAACGAGTCTATTATTCCAGCGCACCACTCTCGAGTTTGTTGAAACTTTACTAGTCAGCTAAAAAGTCGCCATATAGCCAGTTCTAGTCGCAAAAAACTGGATTTATTCGGTCCGTCATCGTTCAAAAGTTATAAAAGCGTTTTACGGCCCACGTTGAAATAGGTTAATTCTAGCGTAGATAGTAAAACTTCCTTATGATATTAGAGAGAGTATGTCTACTCTACTCGTACAACAACTACAAAATCAACAATTTTAAACTTGTACTCATTTGTCAACATTAGACTAAAAAAACTATGTCCTTTTCCCACTGATAACGAAAATGACGCTATTGACTCTTAACTAACAACTTACCCCATTAAAATATCTTTTATCAATTCATCATGACCCATGATCGGAATTGAGTGAGTTAATTTAGCTAAACTAAAGAATAATGTGGACATTTAGCCCTTTTTACACAGTCTTCACTGTATCGCGAGTGATCAGGAGCTTACAGGATTGCGAGCAGGAAAGCTTGCACGCGCAATCGTGATTGCGCGCCCGACTGATGGGCGCATTTGCGCGGTCTTTCCCATTTCCTTCCAACGTTTGTTTACGTCGCGCACGATACTGTATAACGCACGATAGAGTATCTGTGTAAACCCCGGTATTCCTTTTTACAAATCCCGGGGCTCTATCGGAACTGATTACAAGTACGATAGGGACAAATTATTATTTCCAATTAAGCATTTGCTACAAATTATTTTCTAAAAAATAATATTGTACTTGTGATTTTATAGGTACTTACGTATTTAAATAGTTTAGCCAGAAAATAAACAATAAAAATAGAAATGTTATACGCATCCATACTTAGAAGACGTTCATACTTTAGGCATTCCTTCAATTTCTATCACTGATCATACGTACAGATTATTTGTATATATGACGTGTGGCCGACACAAGATAAAAGATAATTTATTTATAAGAGTGCACACACCAATACAAAACGAACGAACGAACGAACGAACAGAGTTTTTTTTAATAATATTGCAGTTTGATTACACAAAATTCAATATAAAATGAACTCTGTATTTAAAGCAATGTAGAAAATACATTATACAAAATGTAAATAGATATGGATCACGATATAATGTTCGCGTGCGCCGGTAGTGTAGCTTTAGGTTAATAATATCCATGAAGGTCATATTAGATTCGAAAAATTCAGTTCTTTATTGACCGTGCGCTTGGATGGACAGCTGTTTGGTTTGTTTGTGATTTGTGATAAGTGGATTTGTACTGATAAAGGTTTGATAATCACGTTCCACTGTCTGCGCCCGCATTGCTTTTGTTTTAATAAAGTTACCACTAATTGAACGATAACATGATAGTGTCGCTCGACGTGTTATGTTTTGACGAGATCAATAAGATCTGTCAGCTAATAGATTAGCTCGATTTCATTGACCGTTATTGTCACCTGTGATATCAGGCTTGAAACCGAAGAAATTTCTAGGAACCTACGCTTATATAAATCCCACAATGTCGATCGACAAAATATGCGCTGCCAATCGTCTCTTGCTAAATTTGAACTAAGCGTACGAGTCGATCGTCAATTACATATTTTTTATGAAAAGAAAAAAGGGACCGACTTCAAACTTTGCTTTGTATCAAGTATAAACTAAAAACAATTTTTGGAATTGGTTAAAAATTGAACAAATCTGTATGCAGTTTTAGTGGTAGTGTACATCCTGTCGCAAGAATGTTTTATTATCGTGCAGGAGACTTCAGTATGATAACTTGTTCAATGTTTTAATATTATTATGAAGAGTATATACTCGTATTTGTAAGCGGCATGTCAGAGAAAATATATCAATAACTTTCTAGAATAAAGGCTAAAAAACAATTGATTAAGATGGAAGAAAAATTAAAAGACACCAATGTTGTCACTTGATTATTTTAACCAATGGCAAGCTTGGCTGTAGTAGGCAGTGCCCCTTAGTTCCTTCGGATTTAAAGCACAGAGTGGTACTACAAATTTTGTGGACAGGAGTGTCATTTAACCGTGAAGAGGGCGACTTGTTCGTCCCGCCACTTGGTCTCATAAAAAAAACATTCATGGAATTACATTGCACAGTGATAAATAACGACATAGCAGAATCATCCGGATATTATGAAAATTATAAACATAAAATTTCTGTGATTTTTTAATTTTATTTGAATAGGTATATTAAATCCGTAAGAATTGTTGGAATAATGCAATCGACGTGATTAACCAATGGAAAGCTCGGTCACAGATTAATCAATGGCTCGGTGTCCTATACACAACAAATTTAGCATATTATGAACACAGTTGTGTGATAAGGTGAACTATGTATTTTGGTTTGGGCCATTCTTGAAAAGCAGTAATATGGATTGTCTTTAATCAGGTAGACTTCAGCAATAATCGCCCTAAAGGAGACCCACGCTCAATCGCTGGCTATTCAAGGATTGACACTGTACACTGCTACACTACGACGTAGCAAAATCATCCCGATATTGTGAAAAATATTACCATAAAAACTTACTTTTTTTATTTCTACAGGTGAATCCATTCAGTATAAAAATATAGAACCTATATGGTTCTATAGATTATGTATAAAGTGATATAAAAACAATTGAATGTTTAAATCCTTAACAATTGTTAGAATCATGCAATCGACTAAATTGAAAACTGTATTGAAATTAAATGTGCTGCAATGGAATTTCATACGGTGAGTTATTTTACAGTACTTAGTTCTATAACATTCTTACTGAGCAACGTTCTAATTGCCACCGGTTATAATGCTGGACTGCCACACAGAAGTCGGACATTTATTTCTCTCGTGAGTTTAGATGTAATTTGTGGTTGTTTATGTGTGTCCACTGCACCCGAGATACAGGGTTTTCCTTGGGCTGTGCTATTTAGAAGGAAGTAATATATCCCGATGCTCAACAAACTTTGGAGATTTTATGCACTTCAAGGTGCTTGGACCAATGAGTCCCTTAGAAGGCTGTTCACTTACAAAATAATGCATCATGCATAACGATGAAATAAAACAAATGCACGGGACAAATTCGAGAATGGTTCACAAAATAACAGCTCGAAAACGTACGTGAATAGACTTTCATTGGGACAGCGTAGTAGACTATGGCATTCTGTCAAGCCAAGCAGTAGATCGTATAGTATTTGATCATGATGATGAAAGATATGGGTTATATACTTCAACCTCGCCTTAACCATTAGCGCCCGCCGTGCCCAGTCGAAGACACTAGTTTAAGTACCAATATTTTTTTTTATTACTATTAATACTCATTACAAAAGTGTATATGTGAAGTAAAATAGTGAATATTGATTATTACTTAAAAAAATTATTTAGAATTAAATAAAAGTGATTCTACTGTTCCTTTTGTGGTTTCACGCGTACGTGAAACGCTAAAGTTAGTTGTTTTTCCTCTAGATTGTTACCAACAATTTATTTCCTTGCATAAATGGATGAAATATATTAGTAAAGTATAAAAGAAATATATACTTGAGTTAAATAATATTTTCACAACTTCAGAGGGTATATAACGGTGTTCGCAATTGCGACTATTGGGCGCATAGGGGATAGGTTATAATTTTTTCATCATGAATAATTTCAAGTAAATAATGACACAATGGGCATTTGGCAATCAATGGGTTAATGAACCAAAATGGTTGTTCACTAGATACGTTGTCTTATTTAATTAATCATACTTTTTTGGTTTTCACACCAGTGTTTCTAGTATAAGATGCAATATCCATCCTCAGAACAACAGCAGTAAGGAGTGCTACCGTGAACACGACTGAAGAGGTGCAAGCGCCGTTGAAGTCATGGAAGGAAATCCCTGGGCCGTCATCGTTGCCCATTGTTGGACCAATACTGCATTTTTTGCCGGGAAGTACGTTTGAACAACAACAACAACTTAATAGTATAATACCTAACAATGTACTAGATCTTTACACCAATTATAATTATAGTTATTTAATTTATCAAAATTACGACGAGTTAGAATCGTAAAACTAACAGACTTACATACCGCCTGATGTACCTAATAGAAGAAAGAAAAAAAAGAAAGAAAATACGTTTATTTGTTTACCACAAAAGAAAAAGAGATTAAAATATAGAAGAACAAGAAAACATTATCAAACCATTAAAACATAAAACATGAATAAATAATTGCAAAAAAACACGAACAAAAAAAAACAAAGACTATTAACATAAACAAGGATACTAAGTATGAAAATAATTTGTGCGGTACCAGCTGTGGTAACAAAAAGCTATTTAACTTAGTATTTGCTTGAAAACGCAATGCTTTCCTAGCACTGATTTTCAGCTAGGTAACGAATTGCTCAAGAGGTCTGGTAATCGCGATACAAAACATCGTGGTCGGGTATTTAGTACTTATTGGTACAACAGATGTCACCACGAGTACCGCATAGCTATTATTGCAACTAATTTCTATTACATTGACAAGCTGCAATTTATCTATTTCTAGTGATAACAAACAAATCAACTAGATGGCGCTTATTGCACAGCGTATGGATAGTGGTATTCAATTTTACTTTGTTTAGGATTAGCGCCATCTACCCACATTTGGAAGCGTTAACAAACAAATTATAACACACAATGCCATCTATTGGCACGTATATTTGTCAATGCTCAGAAAATGATTTTGGTTCATGATTCGAATAATATTACAAGGGAAAAGACTGACTTGTTATTATTCATATTACCAGCATTTACATAATATAAACTACTTCCAGACTAGAGATCAGCGTAATCTTGCTGAAAGATAAGACGAAATTTTAACCTTTTTCAGAGTTACTATGAAAGTTGTCCATTGAACAACATGCTGAGGCATATGACAATAAAATCATTAAATTATTATAATCGCGTTCAGCGAGCGATGTCTTGAAGTTCGGTAGGTTTAATCGCAACTGGACTTCTGGTCCTATTTTCTAGTACCTATCCCTTAATTTTTCTTTTCGGTTTTACAGGAGCTCTGTCAGACTTAAATATTTTAGACGATGTTTTATACAAAACTTACGGACCAATCGTCAGATTGGAGTCAGTTTTTGGAGGTCCAACTTTTATTTTTCTTTTTGATCCTGAAGCGTGTGCGCAGGTAAGTTATCCTAAATAATATTATTTCTCCGCAGTTTCTTACTCTCAAACTTTGTCAATAAAATGAGCAAAGAGTCTTATCTTAAAAACGTAATCATTTTGAATACATAATGCCTATTTCTCGGCGTAAATAAGTAACGATAGTTGTCATGTCTTCAGGTGCTCCGTGGTGAGAATTGGATGCCAATACGCCCCGGGTTCGATTCCCTGGAATATTACAGGAAAAAGCATAAGAAGACCCAAGCGGAGCAGCAAAAGATGAGTGGACTTATTACTGAGTAAGTTATATTACCAGAATACAGCCTAGCAAATACATTTAATATAGTTTTGTATTAATATTAGTGGAACAAAAGAAAAAAACGAAAGGCATCTTATCTTTAAGCAAAGCAACAACCATCTTCACGTTTAAGCATATCATTGTGAAGCACGACGACTAGTACAGACTAGTATAGACTGATACAGTAAATAAAAAAATGCACCGAACAATTATGTGTTGAGTTGTTCAAAGTCCAAACACAAAATTTCTTTTTGTAGCTTATGGATAATTTGATACTATTACAAAACACAGCTCCATGCTGTCGAAGTTAGATTAATTGTTTAATATTTCTTGAATATGACTTTCGTAAAGGTGGATTTGCTGTAATATAATATATGCCTAGTTTTAGAAATATACTTACAAGATGATTGTTTTTCTTGTCACACTTACACGTAGAAGTGTATACTTTGTTTTATAATTCGAAATTAAATCAAATTTCTTTGATTTCCAGGAATATTACTTCAGTACCGTTACCCGTTTTATATGGTTTCCCATTCATTACAGAAATAGCGGATTTAGACTTACCGCTTATTCCTGCGACTAAGTTTACTTGAGATAGCATTTTATAATAATAATATTTTTTCATATTGAAGTCTTTACGCATTTGTGTCAAAATCTCAAAGTTTTATACACGGTCAAGTGCAACTTTATGACGCTTACCATACGAAAGGTCCAAAGTCTAAAGTGTAAGGCTTGGTGTGGGCTTAACTGTATCTTCTTCTGTACTATCGAAGGTTGGAGAACATCATGGCAATCCTGACTTTAGCTGCCACTCTAAAGAGCGAGGTGGTAATGCAGCCTGTGATATAACATTAATTAGGATTCCATTTTCATTTCATTTCATCAGACAACCACACCAATTATCTCAAACCACGAAATTCGATTGTCTCATACTCTGAATCCATTCCGGTGACTAGGTAGTCCCAAAACGTGTGTTCTGGTCTGTGTAAACCACAACCTATTTATAAAAGTTCATTTCCCAAATTGGTATCAAGTTGAGGCCAACATATTAGTATTGTTCATGCTTCATATGAACGTAACATTTAGTATAACAACATTTTGACACGAATGAGTAATTTTCGTAATAAAACCGTATCCTGTCAACATTATCCAAAATCACGAAGGCACATTAATGTGTGTATAATATAATTATAACTGCAAAAGATTTCTTACTACCTACATCACTTATACTACGTTTGGGTCATCAGGTAAAGAATCGGTTTTATTTGTGTAAAGTACACAAAAGCTTAGCCAGAATTTCACCTAAGGTTAAGCGGATCATGATGAAGCTGACGATGCTACGCATTTGCCTGTCGTTGTCATGATTTTCTGTCATTTACTATTTACATGACTTCTGTAAAATTTTAGCCACGGTGAGAATTGGAAGGAATTCCGGTCTACAATCAATCCTGTGATGCTGCAACCGAAAATAATTAAACTGTATAGCAATGTACTAGAAGAAGTGGCCGATGATATGGTTAAGAGGTACGTGCATTAATCAAAGTTTTTACTAATATTGTGGCGAATGAATTAAAAGATAGTAAATAGTAACATATAAATAACTTAATTTGGCCTTACGGTAGTTATCATATATAAAGATGTGCATGTTTATGAATTATTTTTGAAAGTATTTATGAAAAGCGTAAACTTTTGCCTGTCCCTATGTTTACTGCGTTACCTTCACTCTAACTCGCCTGTTTTTAGTATATCTGTATTTATTACAAAAATAAATGAACGATTTATAAGGGAAAGCTCAAGGTTCGATTGCTGCTAGAACAGTTTTATATTTCAATTAAATTAAGTGGTTCTACTCCGAGGGTGCCGGGTTGTGGATTATTTACTTAACGTGATACTTGTGGCATATTCGGTCACACCTAAACTTCTACAATAAACGAAAATTTTTTATTCACATGTGTACTCTCCGTTTTTTACATATAATTCGTATCAATATCCACATCGCATATAACATTTCTAAGTATAAAATGGTGTTCTTGTCAGGCAGATCTATGTTTTGAATGATAATGATATTTTCAGGATGAAATCTATAAGAGACGAGGATTATAAGCTTCAGGGAGATTTTGATGTAGAAATGAATCTTTGGGCATTGGAATCGATAGGAGTTGTGGCTTTAGGAGGACGTCTCAGATGTTTCAATCGAGATTTAGCTGAAAATTCGCCAGAAAGACGTTTAATTCAATGTGTTCATGACCTATTTACTACTGCTAATGAATTGGATTTTAAGCCAAGTTTGTGGAGATACTTTCCTACAAAGGCTTTCACGAAAGCCATGCTTTTGTACAAGGAACAAGAGGAGTAAGTATATTTTGTTTATATTACATACATTTCTATTAACAAGTAAACCTATGTCAGAGTATAAGGCTTGGAACGGAATTGGAGCAAGTTTTTGTAACAAATTTGTACATAGCAAAATGAACTTTATGACATTCTGACGTCCACTAACTAAAACGCGGCTTTGTGACAAATGGTCAAATATACAAGTCAAAATCAAAATCAAAGATTATTTATTCCATAGGTGAAATAAATTTACACTTGAAAACGTCACATTTACGCTACTGCTCGTTCACTACGCTGACCTCCCTGAGAAGAACGAGCAAGAAACTCTAGGGATTGCTCTTTTCAAATAAACTTAAATGCTATGGAATACACTTTGAATCAAATTTGTGTGGATTCTGGAGCCATGTCGTCTTTCCATACATCTTTATCTGACACGTAGTCTTCAATTTTGTAATATGATTTTTCGATCAAAATATTTTTAATGTAGTTTTTAAACTTAAGAAATGATAAACTTAATATATGCTCCGGATTCTTATTGTAAAAACGTATACAGTTTCCCATAAAAGAGTTGTTTACCTTGATTAAACGAAATCGTGGTACCATGAGTTTGGACTTAGCTCTAAGGTTAATATTATGAATATCTTTACGGGCATATATGTACTGTGATGCCACAGTCATGATACCGGACTCCTTCCCAGACGGTACACAGAACGAATCGCTCGTTTTTGCAATACAAATATGGTTTGAATATCTGCCGCTTTACCCCACATGAGAATCTCGTAGGACATTATACTATGGAAGTAACTAAAGTAAACTAGTCTAGCAGTACTAACATCGGTAAGCTCACGTATTCTGCGGACTGCGTATGCAGCAGAGCTTAATCTGCTGTCCTGCTGGGAAGATATATGCGGAAACCATTGAAGTTTACTATCTAAGGTCACTCTCAAGAAGACTGCTTTATTAACAAGGTCTAACTTTTCTCCGTTTATTTTTATGCTTGGACTAGTCGATTTTACGTTAGGTAATTCAAATTTAACACATTTTGTCTTCTTGGCATTAAGCAATAAATTGTTAGCATTAAACCAATAAACTACCTTAGAGAGGGTATCATTAATATGGTCATAGTTAATACGTTTCAAATAGCAAAAGGTAGAGTACAAAATTCTCTTTTAAGAACAGATAAATTTAGTTACCGTATTAGGCTTATCGGAACTTACCCTAACGATGCATAACTGAAATATCATTAAACAATTTCAATATTCTAAAACTGGGTTAGTACGGTAGTGTTATTTGGCTTGTATCTAAGTATCTACACATCTATTGCCTCACCTACACGCTTCAGTGCTGTCACACACGTTCGTCGGTTAAGGACCTCCTCAAATTAGGTCATGTTAAATTTACCTTGACCGACCCTTATCAACTTGTCCCTTATCAGTAAAATCAAACTGAAACCGACCGAAAGATGTGCATCATCGCTAAATCCTTAGATTTACTATTCTGAATGTCGATTTTCATAGACGAACGTCACTCAGTTGATAAAGCTAATATTACTTAAGGTAATGATATTGTATAATAAATACTATATAATTGGCATTATTAAAAGAAAAACACATAAACAAATTTTGTTTAATAAAATCGAATTAAGGACAAGTAATAATTTTTCTAGTTTAGCAAAATTCTTCATTCGCAAAGCGAGAAAGGATTTGGAGCAGAATAAGAAATCAGATTCGGAAAAGGCAGTACTGGAGAAACTTCTTGAAATCAACGAAGAAATAGCTGTCATTATGGCATGTGATATGCTTTTCGCTGGAGTTGATACGGTGAGACGATATTTTACGATGATGGCATAAATATTTTTTTAATAAAAATATTATGGAAATTTTATTTGATTAAAAAAAGTGCCTGTTGTTCGGGGCTAAACAATAAGACTTATCTCAATTTAGAGATAATTTATTAATCAACGAAATCATAAAAATGGGTTCCTCTAAAGTGCTTTAGCACTGAGATAAAGGATATCACCCAAACTTCTAATATTATTAGTACAGTTAAGAATGCTATTGAGCCAGTAAGTGGAAATACGAGTCTTAAGGATGTAAAATCTTACGTGGACCACATAATGTTGGCATAAAAAAATAAATTTTACTTTCAGGCGGCAAATACAATAACAGCAACACTATATCTCCTTGCGAAGAACCAAGATAAACAGGAGAAGTTAAGAGAACTATTAAAAACAAAAGATTCAGACGAAACAATCAGATACGTGAAGGCCTGCATTAAAGAAGGATTAAGAATGATGCCTGTTGTATCCGGTAATGTAAGACAAGCGACTAAAGATTACGATATTCTGGGTTATAAGATACCGAAAGGGGTAAGTGTGTTTTCATTAAATGTCATCCAGATCTTGTCCAAAGCACGGAATTTGCACTAGTCCCCGTGAAGCAAAATTAGATCAGAATCATAATGTTTTGTAAAGTAACTTAATTTTTTATTTTATCTCGTTTTTCAGATAAACATAGCATTTCATCATCAGTACATGTCAAGTATGGAAAGTCAGTTTCCAAAACCAAAGGAATATATACCTGAACGATGGTTGGATAAGAATCATCCACTTTATCATGGAAAAGCACATCCGTTTGCTTATAGTCCTTTTGGATTTGGAGTAAGGATGTGTGCTGGTGAGTTATTTGTCTACTTTTTTCTTTATTGATATAGTAAACTGCAGTGCCTCGCTAAGAAGCCTTTAGTCCACGAAAATTTGTTAAAAGAATAGAGCACAGGAACAGACGACTACCTATATAGAATCTAGCAAGGTGAACGCATAGGCGACAACTGAAGTTTGGTTTGACAAACATGCCCTCGTACCTTCAAACATGTTTGTCAAATACGCTGTCTATCTAGATTTCCATCAAACATATCAAGCACTTACATTATTTGACATATACGCATCAAATACGACAGCAGACGATCAAAAAGTTTGATAAACACGTAAAATTTGTCAAATTATTTGATCGTTTACTGGGCGCTTTACTTACACATAATTCTTGCTTTGTGTTTTATATATTTGACATGGTAATTAGTGCATTGTGCCAATAAACACGACTGTCTTTTCTTGAAATTTGAATAAACAATACAAAATGTCTAATTTGTCTCTTTGCTCGACGCAGACTGATTACAAAATCGTACAGTTGTCTGATTTTCGAATCTTCGCGACGCAGACGCTAGTAACTTATCTTTCTTTTGCTACTTATACAATAAGATCACTGAACTAGAATAATCAAAGCCTCAACAGTTACAGGAACTACCATAAGATAAGTTGTTTCTTCTTAATCGTCCTTTGTTTCGTGCAGGTCGAAGAATAGCAGAGTTGGAGTTGGAGACGTTCCTCGCTAAAGTGATAGAAAGTTTCAAAGTAGAGTGGTTTGGAGGACCACCTAAAATACAAGCAAGCTCTTTGAACTATATTAAGGGACCGTTCAATTTTCGGTTTAAGGACGTATAAAATGTAGGACGTTCAGACATTGTACTTGTTATTTTATTATTGTACTATATTCTATCTTTTTATTTCAATGATTTTATATTTTCTAAGTACTCATAATTTATCAGCTGTATTTTTCTTCAAATAATAAAATAAAATTTGTTAAATTTATGTTTGAGATAGAAATCAAAACTTCCATTTTTATTTTCATTATGGTAAGCGAGACGTCAGTCCAGTCCAACTGTAGTGCCAAAGACCTAAGGGGTCCGGTCACTGCGCTCGTCACCCTGAGACATAAGTTGATAAGTCACATGTGCCTGTCATTTCACCAGCACCTTCACCCTTCAAGAAAGAAACGCAATAATGCTCACAGCAGTAATGCTTGGTGGCAGTTCTTCACTAGACGAACTCTTTCACAAAGAGCGTACTGTTTCTAAAATACTTTAAATTGGGTCCGATCTGGGCGTTCCTGGTCTCCAGGCCAGTGGCTCCGGAATTGTCTTTACTCTGGTAATTATTGTTCAAGTATTTCCTTAAAGAGCCTCTTATATAACAATTATGTCGTTTTATTTAAAAAGTTTGATTTCGAATTAATATTGTAAATTTTACAATATCTATTTTGTTGTTAGTCGCTTTTGTATTAGTATTTTTTTGCTATTTAAGTATATATTATATAAGCGTTAAATTAGGTTACAATTACTTTGGCTCCTTAAAACAGTGCTATAGCAAGTATTACCACAGTATTACAATATCTTAGTATCACTATTCTTCTCTAAAGTATTGTAACGTCTTTGGATGTTCGGTGACTTCGTTGCCCTTGTAGCTACTACGCAGATACCTATGTAAAGGTTGTCATAAAATTGAAAACAAAATTGTAATTATCATTACAACTTATTAATTTAGTAAAAATAATAAAGACTTATATATATGTTGAACTGTTTAATATTTACGTGACTCTTTTATTTTTAGATGTTTGTAGTTTTCAGTTATTTAAGTTTATTATAGAATGCATTTGGGTGGACAATAGGTATATAACGGCTATCAGCGCAAAACTTGTAACCCATGTTCAATTTTTTTCTACTTAATAAAAACATTATTTACGTAAAGGCGCTTAGGTTTCGTAATGTTGTGTTAATAGGTCTTTGAAGTTGCAAAACAACAGAGGCAGACGAACCAGTGTGACGAGGACGGCTTCATAACGGTGGTGACGAGGAAGAGGATCTAACTTTTTGCTGCGTCCTGCCAAACCGAGGACGCTGATGTTACTGTCGCGACTGCATTATTCCACGAAGACTGAGGAAATAGTGGAGTACATTAGACTAAAATCCAAATACACCCCGAGAGTCGAGCGGTTGGAGTCCCGCAACCCAACAACAACAACCCCGTGTCAAACAACACACATAATTGAAATGTCGACTTTCACAGATTCAATTTGCCTCGCACTTAATGAAATTTAATTTTATATGTATTTTTCTATAGTTCTTTGCAAGCGTTCGAAGCTAAACACTTAAGACTTAAATTCATCTCTATGCCTCTTGCGATAAGAACGGTGCAAAGTCCAAAGTGTCAAGCTGGACGTCTTATTATATATCCGCTCACGCGATACATGCAGCCGTAGACGCATACCACACCTAGAGGTGCCGGTGACGATTTTATACCGATTTTATCTGATATCGAAGTTATAACAGGTAAAAGAACTCATATTAATTGCTATTTCGGTAACTATTCTAGCAAACCATAAAGTTATTAATGCCTGGATCTGTCATTAAAAAAAAATAAACAACTTCAAAAATACATCACGACAATCGTGTGTGTTATTGTTTGGGCTGGTGATTTCGGTGTTTATGTATTGAAAACATACCGTAAGTAGCGTTTTTTAAGTTTACCCTGAATATAAATGTTTATAAACTATACTTTAAGGAGTAATTTCATGGTAAACGTTAGAACCACTCAAACGGAATATTATCATATTTACCCAAGTACACCAAAAATTTCATTAGTGCTTTTTAAGTGCAGGATTTGCGGTGTATTACTGCATTTTATTTGAGATGTTTTTGTTGTAGTAGGGAGGGTATTTATTTAGCAATGCAGAATAATAATTTTTATTTATAAAAACTTGTATTTAAACTGAATCCTTTTCCAATTTGCGAAACCAAATAGCCGCCATTTTGCGGTAGGATGAGCGCATCGCGTGAGCGGATAAGACTTAAATTCATCTCTATGCCTCTTGCGATAAGAACGGTTCAAAATCCAAAATGTCAAGCTGGACGTCTTATTATATATGGTTTGAGTTGTGACAGTTTCTGCACTTTTTTATTATACCAAGAGACGTGACAAACAATGGTTTGATGGTTAGCGATACGCCTGTCTATAGCAGTTGTAGTGACTCTCAGAGTTTTAAATCTCAAAGTTGTGCCCGTCACCCTGAGATATAAGAGGCCAAGTCTCATGTGCCCTTAATTTCACTAGCACCCCTACCCTGAATACAATGATGCTCACATTACAAGAAACAGCATACAAGAGCAGATTAATCCTCGCGTGGAAACCACATGAAATGCCATAGTGAATTTTATAAAATTACTTTGTATGATAATGTGAGGTAGCACCACTTTTAAAAATGCTATATACAATTGGACAATAACCAGAAAAAAAAGTCTAAATGTAGTTAGAAAGAATGTTTCTATAATAAAAATGGATCATTCATTCAATATTTTTGTGAAACAACAATCGATGAAATTGCATTTGGAAATTGATATATTTTTACCAAAATCTATATCTAATATATATAATATAATATTTTTGTCTGTGTATATCCTTTATGGTTAACTTTAAATACTTTTTGAAAAGTTATCCGATTTCCTATTGCGGTAGTTCGAATTTTTTAGTACTCAGAATAGAATTCATAGATCCCGTCGATGTGGCTGTTGCAGGATGTTAGAGAGGGTTTGTATACTTTACAACAACTACAAGTAAAAAAAAAAATATAATAAAGTAACTATCTATTTTAAACTTCAACTCATTTGTCAGCATTAGATTAAATAAATATTTGTTTTTTTCTCGCTAAAAACTAACACCTCACATATTTGTTATTATCTTATTAATTCATTCTTGAAGTATTTATGACGTATGATCGACTCAAGATAAATGATTAGGCACGATATAAATACTCATACAACCAATACAAGATAAACAAATAAACTTCCATAATGTTTGAACAAAAAAAAGACGTAATGTCGAACGACGGAGTTCTTTATAAAATGGCAGTTTGACATTCAGTATAAAATGAACTCTGAATGTAAAGAAATGTAGACGATATATTAAACAAAATGGAAATAGACACGGATCACGATATAATGTTCGTGGGCGCCAATAGTGCAGGTTGTTTTATAAAAATATACATCAAGGACGATTTCAATTCTAAACACTCAGTTGTTTATTGACCGTGTGCTTGGACGGACTTTTGTTTGGTTTGTTTGTGATTTTTTTTTAACCGTAGCTTCAAGCGGATCCATAGTTATAAAGGTTTTATAATTATCTATGCCTGTGTGTCAGTTCTCATCTTTTTATTTTAATAAAATTTTCCTCATAAATGGCAACTATACGAACGTTAAGATGCCTAAAGAATTGCTCGATTTTTGACGCTAGTTATTGTTGCTCGATGTAGTCTCTTTTGTCGACAAGGTACCTCATACGCAGGCACTCGATATGCCTTGTTTTAACCATCAATAAGATCTAACACAGATTTGCTAAATTTTATCGATCATTGTAACAATATGATACCTCTTTGAATTTGATAAACGTCAGGGTTTGAATGAAACAAATTTGTAGTGTCCATCTTCGAGCATAAAGTAGTCGTCAATCGTCTGGTGTTTACACATTTACTCGATTTTGTTTGATCATTAACATTAACTGTCTCCGTGGCCGAACGGTGACTATGTTGGACTGCCACGCAGATATCCCGGGTACGATTCCCGGACCGGGAGAAATATTTGTATGGTCTACATTTATTTCTTTCGTGGGTTTGGTGTAATTTGTGGTTGTCTATGTGTGTCCATGCCTCCCGCGATATAAGGTTTCCCTAGTATGGGACTATGAGTGTGTGCGTCGACAAATCGACAAAAAATTCGATGTCAATCATCTGTTGTTTACACATTCTCATACAGGAGATTTGATTCGTAGCGAAGGGTCTTCAACACTAAAGGATTCCGGATGTCATGTATGATACTACATCATTGATATGAGGTGTATATTACAAAATAATCATTGTGTGTATATATGGTGAAGAAAAACGTCGCGGGAGCACGACATACTAGAAAGGCATGGAACTGTCGATCAATAGTTTTTTTTAGAACAAAACACCTAGTTAATCAAGAAAAACCAACGTCATGTCGTGATTAACCAATGGAAAGCTCGGTCATAGATTAATCAATGGCTCGGTGTCCTATACACAACTAATTTAGCATATTATGAACACAGCTGTGTGATAAGGTGAACTATGTATTTTGGGTTGGGCCGTTCTTGATAAGCGGTAATATGGATTGTCTTTAATCAGGTAGACTTTAGCAATAATCGACCTAAAGGAGACCCACGCTCAATCGCTGGCTATTCAAGGATTGACACTGTACACTGCTACACTACGACGTAGCAAAATCATCCCGAAATTGTGAAAAGTATTACCACAAAAACTTCCTTTTTTTATATCTACAGGTGAATCGATTCAGCATAAAAATATAGAACCTTTCTATGGATTATGTACAGAGTGATATAAAAAGATCAATTGAATATTTAAATCCTTAAGAATCGTTAGAATCATGCAATCTACTAAATTGAAAACTGTACTGAAATTAAATGTGCTGCAATGGAATTTCATACGGTGAGATATTTTACTATACTTAGTTCTTTAACATTCTTACTGAGTGAGATGTCCTAGTGATCAACTAACCTAGTTGGAAGAACGTTTATTGTCCTTTACACTTTCTACGTAATCGGTTTGATTCTCACCGGGGTGCTTGCATACTTACCAATTATGGCATAGTCCAACGGTAAAATAAAACAAATGACTAATGCAAATCCAGGAATATTGCACATAGTAACTGTTCGGAAATGTGCGAAGTTCCTAACTTTTATTGCTGCGTTCGTTTGCTAAGGCAAGCAGTTACTGTATATGGTTTGATGGTGATGACGAAAGGGTTACGGGTTTCACGGCCAAACTTAAGTTACTAACTTTTACATAAGTAGATGTGTGAGATCATTGCAGATACTTTAGCTGCCAGAACTAAATAAATGTAACTTGTTGTTATGATCTTCCCTCATTCACGGATTTCTTTAACACATGTCTTTAAACCTAGTTCTTAAAGATGAGCCTCAAATGAAATGTAGGTTTTCCATTCAACGAGGAATTTATTTATTTATAATACTTATTGAAGTAATTGCATTTTTTTTTATATTTACACCCGATCCTTGTTCTTTGAGGTTCAATGTCCGTTTTCAGAACTGCAGCAGTAAGAAGTGCTACGGTGAACACGACTGAAGAGGTGCAAACGCCGTTGAAATCATGGAAGGAAATCCCTGGACCGCCATCATTGCCCATCATTGGACAGATGCTGCATTTTTTGCCGGGAAGTACGTATAAACAAATTATAGTGCGATAAGAAAATGATAGACCATGGAAGTAATTTTTATGGTCGTGTGGTAGACCATTACATCAATTACCCAGTTATCTCATTTGTCAAAGTCCAACGGAGAGTTTAACAGATACGAAGAACGTAAAACGAAATACGTATATATCAGTTATAATCGCGTTTGGCGAACGATCTATGGACGTTCCCGGCTTTTATTTGACGAATGGCAGATTATGGAAACACAAATTCTTTTAGACGCAGCGCAAACGTATTGTGTTGGATACAAGCAACCAAATTGCGGTTGAAAATTCGTTTCTAGTTGCCGGTTGCTTGTATCCAACACAAGACATATGAAGAATGTGTTAAATTAAAATTAGACCTACGCCGCCGCATTCACAGCAAGAATTTTGGTCCAGTTTTCTTAAAGTCTTTTATATTTATTCTCGTCTTTACAGAACCTCTATCGGATCTAACTATGATACACGATATTTTATACAAAACTTATGGACCAATCGTTAGATTGGACTCAGTTCTTGGAAGTGCAGCTCATATTTTTCTTTATGACCCTGATGCGTGTGCTCAGGTAAGATATCCCAAACAATTTCATTTCTCATCCGTTATACTGCTCTCAAACTTCCTGAATAAAATAAGCACAAAAACATGCCACTTTAAAATAAAATAAATATTTTTAATATATTAAGCTTGTTTCTCGGTTTAAACAATTAATGAGAGGGAACTTAATTATATATTTCTTACTGGTCCCATGGTCACGGTTTATCATAACACCTATAAAATGGCCCGAACTGTTGGTTTGTTTCAAAAAACAAATATACACGATTTAGGTCCCAAAAATTATTTCATCTCGTACGTGTAACAATCGCGAAAACCGAAGAACTTGACAATTAATTATCATAATTAAGGTTATCATTTCTTCAGGTACTTCGTGGTGAGAATTGGATGCCAGTGCGTCCTGGATTCTATTCCCTGGAATATTATAGGAAAAAGCATAAGAAAAACCCAGAGAAGCAACAAAAGATGACCGGACTTATTACTGAGTAAGTAAATCATCAGGTACCTCATCAGGTGCATAGGTAGGTAGGAAGGTCTAACAACAAAATGTAGTTTTTTATTACTGGCAAACTTTTGAGAGCGTAGCCAAAGTACTAATGACGACCTTCCTCCTTTTAGTATGATAGTGGAAAGATCAATGACCTGAAGAAGGACAAATTCGTCTTCAAACATAATAAATAAACAAATACCATGCACTAAACAATTAGTAGTTATTGAGTTGTTAAAAGTCCAAACATTAAATATGTTTTTGTACCTACATGTCAATTCTTCAAAAGTCAAAAGTGTAATAATCATTTTTATTCCATAGGTAAAATTTTTACACTTGATTTTTTTAAGCTACTGCTCGTTCACTACGCTGACTTTCCTGAGAAGAGCGAGCAAGAAACTCTAGGGATTGCTCTTTTCAAATAAACTTAAATGCCATGGAATACACTTTGAATCAAATTTGTGTGGAATCTAGATTTGTTGTTTTCCATATTTCTTTATCTAAAACATACTCTACAATTTTGTAATATGAATTTTCGATTAAAATACTTTTAATGTAAGTTTTAAACTTAGGAAATAATGATCTTAATATATTCTCCGGAATCTTATTGTAAAAACGTTTGCAGTTCCCATCGAGTATATAACCAGAAATAGAGGCGAAATGTCACTTAAATTGTTTGAAAACTATTCTGCCATATCATTACTGTGATAACTGCGCTCCGATTGGCTAGCCCGAGTTCAAAACAATTGACGGGAGTTGTCAACTGTTTCAATTCAAATCGACCAGTTAACTTGAGTTTTGCTATAATGGACGAAAATTGCCAAATTACATATTTAATATTTAATTATCGATGAAAAATGACTCCGTTTGTTTTGTAATTAGATGTTTTTCTGTTTTTCCCACACCACCGAATAGAACAGCATGGCATTGTTAGAGATATTATCTTTAATACAATAAATACAGAATATTTTTTGGAATATACGGAGACATAAACACAGGTCAGTAGTCAGCCTGTCTGTATTTCAGTGCAAACGAGAGTTGATATTTATAAGAGCTGTATCGCTAATGTGTTACCAGGAATATAATATGGTCCTTATTTCGTCTCTATTTCTGGTTATGTACTCCATGAAATAATCGTTTACCTTAGTTAAACGAAATCGTGGTACCATGAGTTTGGACTTAGTTCTAAGGTGAATATTATGGATATCTTCGATACAACATGTGTTTTCACAGATAAATAGTTATGAATTATAGGTTATGGGTTATTAGACAATGGTACTTAACCCAGTTTCTAAGCTATCCGGGTCAGATTCATGGTTTGATTTTGAATTTAGTAGATGTGTATTATTTATTTTTTCTACCGAGGCAGTGACACTGGCTTCATTTCAGTATACAGTACGGGAAAATTTTTAATTCGAACTGAGGTAAGTAGGTAGTAGTAGTAGGTGGTAGGAGGTAGAGGTTATTACATCACTAATTTTACGTCGGCGTCACTAGGCTGTTTTTTTATATAAAGGCTCGGCCTTTTTATGTAAATCTTACTCAATGTTAAAGCAACGATGAGGCTGACGATGTTACTCATTTGTCTTTCTTTTGGTTACTTGATATTTACTTTTGTAAAATTTTAGCCACGGTGATAATTGGAAGGAATTCCGGTCTGCCGTCAATCCTGTGATGCTGCAACCGAAAATAATCAAACTGTACAGCAATGTACTGGAAGAAGTGGCCGATGATATGGTTAAGAGGTGTGTACTTCGATCAGTTTTTTAAACAACACTAGATAGCCGTCAAAAACATAGTTTTATATGTTAAGATGTGCATCGACGTTTGTGAACTATATTGAAAGTATTCATAACAGTTAGTTACTAGAACTGTTTAACGACCGTAACGTAAAAAGACTACACTGGCTACACACAAAGACAGCCACAAATTGCACCCAAACTCAAAAATCGAAACTGGGACCTCTGCGTGGCAGTCCGTCATACTTCCTAATACATATTTTTATATTATATTTCATACTATTTAATTTATTGTCTTCTGCATTATTAAACACACTGAGTTTATAAAAATATAGGGACAGACGAGTTCATTGAAAATATCTACCACTTACAAATGTGCTATTAGTATTAGGCCACAAACTGGATGACAGCGAGTGGCGTCTCAGGCTACAGCAAGCCAAAACTGAATTTTCAAATTAAGTCCTTAAGTTTGAAAAGCAAGTTTTTACTTGTAACATATGCACTCCTGGTATGAAATCATGCAACGGACGTGCTGGTCAGGCCAATTTGTTTTTTTATTATAATACTAAATAACAGGACGAACAATTTATGTGCCTGGTAGTAAGCGACACGCCTGTCCCTGACAATTGCAGTGCCACTCAGAGCTTTAATCATAAATCTGAGGGGAACAGCCACTACGCCCGATACCTTGAGACATAATTTGACAAGTTCCATGTACCTGTAACTTCACCAAATGTTATGGATGATTATGATATTTTCAGGATGAGATCAATGAGAGACGAGGATTATATGCTTAAAGGTGATTTTGACGTAGAAATGAATCTTTGGGCATTGGAATCTATAGCAATTGTGGCTTTAGGAGGACGCCTCAGATGTTTTGACCGAGATTTAGCTAAAGATTCGCCAGAAAGACGTTTAATTCAATGTGTCCATGATCTGTTTATTATGGCTAATGATTTGGATTTTAAGCCAAATTTGTGGAGATACTTTCCTACGAAGCTATTTAAGAAAGCGATGATTTTGTACAAGGAACAAGAGGAGTACGTATAATTTTATTTACATTTCTATTACTAAGTATAATACCTTATTTCTAGATATAAGTCTTATCTGGAAATAAATCTTTATAACTTTCTCGACGAATGATTTGCTTTTGCCATAAAATTTACAACTTTATTATTCTTGATAAATGAAAATACGGAAAAGGTTTAAAATGACCGCTCACGCGATGCGCTCCTCCTACCGCAAAATGGCGGTTATTTGGTTTCGCAAATTAGAAAAGGATTCGGTTTAAATACAAGTTTTTATAAATAAAAATTATTATTCTGCATTGGTAAATAAATACCCTCCGCACTACCAACAAAAACATCTCAAATAAAATGAAGTAATACTCCGCAAATCCTTCACTTAAAAAGCACTAATTAAATTTTTGGTGTACTTGGATAAATATGATAATATTCCGTTTGAATCGTTCTAACGTTTACCATGAAATTACTCCTTAAAGTATAGTTTATAAACATTTATATTTAGGGTAAACTTAAAAAACGCTACTTACGGTATGTTTTCAATAAATAAACACCGAAATCACCAGCCCAAACAATAACACACACGATTGTCGTGACGTATTTTTGAAGTTGTTTATTTTTTTAAATGACAGACCTAGGCATTAAAAACTTTATGGTTTGCTAGAGTAGTTACCGAAATAGCAATTAATATTAGTTCTTTTACCTGTTATAACTTCGATATCAGATAAATCGGTAGAAAATCATCACCGGCACCTCTAGGTGTGGTATGCGTCTACGGCTGCATATATCGCGTGAGCAGTTAAAATAATATCTAAATCAGAATTCTATTATGAAACGTTAAACTCTTCCGTAATATATATATTGTAGGTTTTTGTTATATAATACTCTTTTAATCCGGGTATTTCAAATTTGCCCTTCCTTTATACTGTCTGCATGCAACATTTTAAGTCTAACTCAATCCAAGTTGTTCGCATTTGATTAAAATGTGCAATGTTCATGTTGTTATAGCAATATTTCAATAAGTCGTCTAGTACGTCACTACTATCTTGCTTATAACAATGATTCAACATATTTTGTACAGTTTTATGCCTGTTATCACAAAACATAAACTGATAATATTAATGATACAAACGTTCCCGTTGCTAAACTAATCATGTCTGTGAGTGTCATTGTTTTTACTTTGACAATATGACGCACTTGGACTGTAATGAGCACTATTAAGTATTAGCAAACGGTACCTTGTTCTACCAAACGAGGTTTAGAAAATAGCCACCAGACATGTCCACTCTGGGTTAATACTACACGTTGTTGGCAAAGATCTTCTTTGAAGGCCTTTTGTAAATTTAATCCCATCTACGCGTAGGTTTCTTTATAATGTTTTCTATCATTGTTAAAATATATTTGGGGACTATGACATGCCCTATATCCTTCTCTAGAGACCATAGCTTTCCACTTGCTATGATTCTGACACACATCTTTCGCCTTACCAACACGCATCAATGCTTTCATACAAGCTCGTGCGTTAAAGACACCCTTGACCTAGCCTTCTTTAAAGACGTCCTTAATTTTGTTGTGTGAAGTTGACCTTCTACGATCCTTACCAACTTGTCCCTCATCTGTATATAAAACTAATGAATACGACTGCAATATTATGCATGGCCAAGTCCTTGGATACACAATTGTGAATGTCGATTTTCATAGATGAAGATCACCTAGTTGATGAAGCTAATATTCTTGAGGTAATGGCTTTCGAAACAGGCACACAAAGATATTTTGTCCATAACTTCGTATTAACACACAGCATGATGACGCAGTAATTTAAAATATTATATTATTTTTCTAGTTTAACAAAATACTTCATTCGCAAAGCGAGAAAGGATTTGGAACACAGCAAAAAATCAGATTCCGAAAAGGCAATACTCGAAAAACTTCTTGAAATCAACGAAGAAATTGCTGTGATTATGGCATGTGACATGCTTTTCGCTGGAGTCGATACGGTGAGACGATGTTTAAAGATAAAAGTGTTAGAAGTTTCATGATAACGTCTGATCATGAAGATTCTAAATTTTTTGTTCTACTGTAATATTGGTATGTTATTTATCCTCTCACGCGATACGCTCATCCTACCGCAAAATGGCGGCTATTTGGTTTCGCAAATTAGAAAAGGATTCAGTTTAAATACAAGTTTTTAAAAATAAAAATTATTATTCTGCATTGCTAAATAAATACCCTCCGTACTACAAGAAAAACATCTCAAATAAAATGCAGTAATACACCGCAAATCCTGCACTTAAAAAGCACTAATGAAATTTTTGGTGTACTTGGGTAAATATGATAATATTCCGTTTGAGTGGTTCTAATGTTTACCATGAAATTACTCCTTAAAGTATAGTTTATGAACATTTATATTCAGGGTAAACTTAAAAAACGCAACTTGCGGTATGTTTTCAATAAATAAACACCTGTTTCTTTTTTTTAAATGACAGACCCAGGCATTAAAAACTTATGGTTTGCTAGAGTAGTTACCGAAGTAGCAATTAGTATTAGTTCTTTTACCTGTTATAACTTCGATATCCGATAAATCGGTATAAAATCATCTCCGGCACCTCTAGGTGTGGTATGCTTCCAGAGACGCATGAATCGCGTGAGCGGTTAGATGGATTTCTCTCTGGTGCGATATTCTTGAGATGAATAACATGACCCAAATAATATTGTTAATGCCACTAAAAGTACTGTTGAGTCAGTAGGTGTAAGGATGAGTGTCAAAGAAGTAAAATTTGCCTTGTTATGTTTTGGAGCTTCGAACTGGCATCCATTACATTGACTGCTAATACTGACACAAAATAAATTTATCTTATAGGCGGCAAACACAATTACAGCAACATTATACCTCCTTGCAAAGAACCAAGATAAACAGGAAAAACTAAGAGAACTATTAAAAACAAAAGATTCAGATGAAACAGTGAAATACGTGAAGGCCTGCATTAAAGAAGGGTTAAGGATGATGCCTGTTGTATCCGGTAATTTAAGACAAGCGAGTAAAGATTACGATATACTAGGTTATAGGATACCGAAAGGGGTAAGTGTGTTTTCATAAAATGTGATTGAGATCTTGTCTAAAAGAATGAATTCAAATTACAGATATATAGTTCTACATATCTGAATACATAAATAGGATGTTATAATCATTTTTCTTATATCAAATTTGTTAACATAGCCATAGTTCAAAATAGGGTGGTTTGTTTTAATATTAATAACATTAATAACAAACATTTTTAACATTCATAACTAATACCATCTCAGTCAGCCGTGGCCGTGAGACCTCTAGAGCCCGAAAAACAAAATAAATATACGCGATTCAGTTCCCAAAATAGTTGTTTTCCAATGTATCAATCGCGGAAACGTAAAAACTCGATATCAAACTTACTAGCAAATGTAAGTATTACAACGAATGAAATTAAAATTTCTTTATTTTATTCCGTTTTTCAGATGAACGTTGTATTCGCACATCAGTATATGTCTACTATGGAAGGCCAGTTTCCAAAACCAAAGGAATATGTGCCTGAGCGATGGTTGGATAAGGAACATCCCCTTTATTACGGAAAAGCCCATCCGTTTGCCTATAGTCCTTTCGGATTTGGAGTAAGAATGTGTGCCGGTGAGTTTATTTGAAATTTTACTTTTTTAAATTAAGGAGCTGTTAGTACGGCTCAAATGGAACTGATACAATTGCAACAGAAAGCCGTGATTTTGTATAGGTTATAAAATATACTAATAGGTGTTAGTCAGTAAAATGTAAGCAGTAATGAGTTTCATCTTACTAGTTATAATACTATTTATTATTATACTAATCAAAGAATACACAGCAGTTTAGGTTCGTGGCCCGAATTTGGCGCGAAGCGGTGGCAATGGCCGGTCGAGCCAGCTGTTTACCCGCATTCCTAGCGTGCTCTATCGAACAAAAAATCATTATTACTCTAGGGCCGTATGATACAAAATACCGTCTAGTTTTGCTGAACGTACAATGAATTCTAATCCATTGAAAGTTTTTGTAGTACTTAACTCCAAATATAACTGCAATAGTCAATGCCTCAACAGTTACTAGATCTAGTAAAAGGTAAGTTGCGTGTTGAATAATTTTGATTCATCTTTTGTTTTCTTTTTAGGTCGTAGGATAGCAGAGTTGGAGATGGAGACGTTTCTTGCCAAATTAATACAGAATTTCAAAGTGGAATGGTTTGGAGAACCACCTAAAATACAAGCGAGCTCTCTGAACTATATTAAGGGACCGTTCAATTTTAGATTTAAGGACGTGTAAAACTATTTAATAGGACCTTCAAACATGGTATTTGTAATTTTATCATAACAATTGTAAAAGTTATTACATTCCAACATTAAATAATGCTTCATGATGATATTCTATAAATATTTAAAAAGCTTACCTGAAAATTACCCATCAAAACTATTGTAATTACTAGTGATAACAAACAAATCAACTAGATGGCAACTTATTGTACAGATTTTTATGGCTAGTGCCGACTATTATTTTATTTTGTTTAGGACTAGCTCCATCTACCTATATTAGGAAGCGTTAATTTATAAGTTGGTAACACACAATCCTATTTATTGACACGCATATTTGTCAACGTTCAGAAAATAATTTTAGCTCATGATCAAACATCATCATCATCAACAGCCAATCATAGTTCACTACTGGACATAGGCCTCTCCCAATGAGCGCCATTTCCCCCGGTCCTCAGCTCGTTGCATCCATCTGCTGCCAGCAGCTCTTCGCAAATCGTCACTTCATCAGGCCATAGAGCGCCTACACTACGTTCATGATCAATATTTTAATAATATTACAAGGAAAAAACTTATATTTCTTATTCAAGATTAATTAATTGATATCCACGCCATTTACATGGGACGGAATCTCCATCTCTTTTTCAGAGAGATCTGTAGTGTGGAGATCAATAGTCCTCTTGAGTTAAATTAGTCCATGATGATATGAAGTGACGGGACGAACAAGTCGTGCGCCTGGTGGTAAGCGACACGCCTGACCGTAACAATTGTAGTGCTCCATCGACCATCATCATATGTCATACTCATGTATGACGATGACGTATGATGATGGTGATGGTGGTGATAGACAATGATAGATATTGGTTAAATGTAATTAACTTTAACGTGTATTTAGACAAGCACTAAGGCGCTCAACACTAAGCGATTACATAGACGAGCACTAAGGCGCTCAACACTAAGCGATTACATGGGCGTTCTAGGCTAGTCTGAAATTATTTACTTTAGGAAATATTATACAAGGATTTCTTTTGAAAGATTTTTTGTAATAATTATGACGTTTCAGAGTTTAGTTTTATTTATACAGTTTGATTTTTAATACTATTGTAAAATGTATCTTTTGAAGCCAACACAACATCTAGTTTAAACTTGAAAGGGTTGTAACCTTAACTAGCCGTGAACAGGTTCACGGCAATGAAATGGGAAACTTCCGGTCTATAAACATTATTAAAGAAGTAAAGTTTAAAGAAAGGCCCTAAATGGGCCGAGAAACTGAATAACAGAAATAGATACATGAAGGGTGTAGACTTATAAATTATTACACATGATTAGCTTATTAACAGCTCCGATTGTTGTGGCGGTCGAGTCGGGAGTGACCGTGGTACGAAATCAAAATGAGAAAGTGAAGGAAGATGGAACAATTCAAATTTAAAATTTAAATACATGTAAAGTAAAAAAAATGATAAGATACAAGCGGAGAGAGGCGATACAAAGAGGTGAGATGACGGTGTAAGGAGGTCACACCGCCACAAACTATTATTTTAGTTACGTTTTCAATAAGGAGAAAGATAAAGATGAATTCATTTTATTATAACTTAATCTAAATACGTGTTGTTTTATGATACTATACATAACAGTTACAGTGCCATTCAGAGCAGAGCTTTAAATCACAAAGATGTGAGGGGCACTGCCAATGCGTTCGTCACTGTGAGACATAAGTTGGCAAGTCCTATGTGCCTGTAATTTCACCAGCACTTTTCCCTTCAAAACCGGAACGCAGTAATTGCTCACATTACAGCTTGGCAGCAGAAATAGGTAAGGTGACATAAACTTCCCTGGCGATCTCTTTCACAAGGAGATCTACTGCTACTACTGAAAATAAATGTAAAAGAAGCTATTATAAACAATAAAAAAGAAACTTTAGTTATTAAATAGTCATTATAATGTTATATAATTAATAAACTTCCCAACATGTATTTCATACAGAGATGTTATATATTATTTACTTATATTAGTATTAAGTGTAAGGGCATTTGCTCAGAGCCACTCGGTTATTGACTTAACGCCAAATTAGTGTGAATACTTCTTTCTAACTTGAGGCACCGAAAAGTAGGGCACACAGTCCTTCCATTCCGTCCATCGGCGTAAATATGATCTTGCCACTGGAAAGGGGAAAAGTGCATAGTTGGTTAATACAGACAAGAAATAAGATCGGTCCTAATATGCCTCCTTGTGGTACACCATACAAAAATAAAATCGATAGTTCATTATCGTTATTTGTGCTATGTTGCGGATTTTAAATAATGAGCAAGCCTTTTGTAAATTGGACATAATTATGCAAACAAGAATCAACTCACACCTCGAGTGAAATTGAGTTACGTATTTAGGTAGAACACTAGACGTGTCCTTTACCCGCTCACAAAAGATCCTGGCAATATACCAAGCTAAAACGGAGAAAATAAAAGTCCTTTATGGTACCAACCCTAAATAAGTAACAGAAGATTTGGAATTTTCGATAACTTTTCATAATCGTTTTTTATCCTGGCCTGCATTAAAGTCTAGTGTTCTCGTATTGGCATTCCGATTTCTTAACAGATTGTTACAGAAATTTCCATATGTATAATAACTAGTTTTGAATACTGGATTGTCCGGAAATAAATTAAATACTCCGTCGCTACGTTTCCATCGGCTGAGTTGTTTGTATATTGAAAACATAATTATCTAAACATGCAAGGTCACAAGATACGTTCTTTATTTAGTTTTGTATAAGAATAATAGTATAGGACCTACTGAATCTCTTTTGTAGGCTTAGTAGTAAGATAAAATTATCAGTTAACTATAGGTAAGGTTTTACGGTAAAGATAGCTTTGCCTAATATATGATCTAAACAGATAAGATCCCTCATTGGATGAAGTTCGGTTGGAAGGTAATTAAGAGAAGCTGTTTAGTTCAAGTATTCGCCTGAGTTGCTATCTTCATTGTAAATCTTAATATCAATATTTAGGTCGCCAAGAATGAATACGTTTCGGAATGAGGAAAATGTTGTCGAAATGTCACTTAGGGAAAGTAAATAAAAAAAATGATGTTTTTGTACGAGGGGGAGCGATAAATTGCTACAATAGCAATGTCATTCCCAATTTTTCCAATCAAACAGTAAGCATTCACAATTTTGGGTTCCTTTTCTAAGACGTTTGAAAGATCTGTTTTTATATAAAAAAAAACAAGGATGTATTTATGTACACTTGGTACTTGGTACTTGGTACTTGGTGCAACGGGCTGGTGTCTGCAACTCGACGACAAAGCGCCTATTTTGCGTTTATGTACACTTACTCGGTGGATAAATAGCAGTACTGCTCGTATTCGATGGACAAAACAAGAGCAATCCTCCTTTGCTAACTATATCAACAAAAGGTTGGTTTGATGATTATGCACTCAGGCCTGATTGTACGCAGATTTGACAGATTGGACATTTAATCGCTTTTGACACTTTGACAGTTTGACACTTTAACACTTTGAAGTGTTAATCAAAGAATGTTTCAAACACACTTAGACTGAAATGGTGTATGGAATCAATGCTGTCCCTGCTCCGTCTTAGCTCCCCGAAAGCTGGTTTACTGTGCAAAAAGGTCACCACCCAATCAAAGAATTGGCCAAAATATATTTTTGTTTTAAGGACTGGTACCGTATAGCAAACTGAGAGGTGTCCAAGCGCTGACCTGCTAACGTTGCTGATTTTCAGCTTCTGCTCGCTGTTAAGCTTCAGATCTCCAGAAAAGGTGAAGATGTCATTCCAACATTGTTCTATTTGAATCAGCCATTTCTGAATCGATCGTGGGTTGAGATGCGTCTAAAATCGGTGTAGATGTGGATGGGGTAGGAGCTGAAGCCAGAGCTGGTGTTGCCGCTAGTTCCACTTGCAGCCTAACGGAAGGTAGGCTATGACTCGTCACCATATTTCTGTAGAACGGGCTATTCATTTTTATACTTTATAAGCACTATGTCGCACGGAACAACACAAAAACCGAAAAGCGTTAAGACAGCGTTGGCAGATATACTCTTAATATTTTAAATATTAAACATTAAATGTTGGCAGACACGTTCGGTTTCGCTCCAAGCTCAATTAGAACGTCCGTAAAAAAAAATATTTTTAGTTGGTCGTTTTTGTATGAAATTAAATTTGGATGGACGATTAAATTATGCTTTTCAAGTATACTCGAATACACGCAAGCATCAAATTTAGTTAACGCACTTTTTAGGACCCTAAAACAGCATTTTTTTCATACATTTTCCCTACACTAGCGTAACGTTCTGCCCACGTACTCCTATTACGTGTTATAGCACCTTGTTCCTACTTACTCTGTCATACGCAGAAATTTGTAAGGGTTGTTACAAAATTTAAAAAATATGGAATTATTATTGCCAAGTAATATTTTAGTAGCATAATTATTATAATAAAATAAATAGATAAGCGATAAGATTGACGTGGCTCTTTATTTTTGGATGTTTGTAGTTTTCTGTTACTAAATTTAACTACGTAATATCTTGGCATTCGAGTGAACAAAATCATAAAAAAATGGTTGAAACATGAGCATGGCCATGATTTAAATTTTACCTCACAAAAATGTTGTTTTCAATAAAAGAAAGCAAGTTCTGTATAAAGCGGGCTTCTGCGTTATCCTGAAACCTGACATTTCGCTGAAAGTATTAAAAAACATTTTTCCCCCGCGAATACCCCACCGCTTCTCTCCAGAGTTCATTGCGCAACTACCTAAATGGTTTGTAAAACTATGGCTCAATTTACATTATTGCGAAACAACGGAAGCGGCAATTTCGCCGCAGATCTAGCGCGAGAAGATTTCGTGAGAACACTCGAGAATCTAGAATTTGTTATTTATTTTGAAACTTGAAACTACCAATCAACATCAAAATTTTATAGTGTTTCAAATTAAAAATATGTGAGATTTGACGACATCGGATCTGGTAGTGATAGGCATTTCCATGGTTTTTGTTTCTTCCGATTTGTACGCACAGAACAGGCAAAAAGATTGTTACTATTTGTTGAATCGCCTTTCCAGCAGTGCCGCCGCACACGCACATGTAAGCTATAGTTTAGGATACGATGGAACTTTCATATACATTATACGTAAGTTCCTAAATAAATAATTTTTTAAAAAATCTAGGGCTGATCAACGCAAGCGACCACGTCTCACGACGTTACTTCGCCGCCACGAACGCCAACGTCGGAATGCTACTTATACTAAAAAAAGTCTATTCTTACTGACAACAAAAGTGAATAACCACATTGAAAAGCTACCTACATGTTTTCAAACTAACTCACCTCATTAGTTTTTTTAGTGATCCGTCATGAAAATGTACAAATCAAGTA